CACAAACATGGGTAAGGGATTGAGGACATATAACTTTGATATTAGCACTTAAATAGAGTTATAGTTATCACATAATTACCACATAGTTGTCACAATAATAGCACAGATTAATAGGGTTAGGATTACATAACACTCAAGTAGTAGGAGAGGCAGGTTTGAGCGCATAATGAGAGCAGAGTGACAACAACCAGGTCAGGGGAGGATAAGCAAATCATGAGCACATAAGGACTAAAGTCTCAGAAGGAACTGGAGACATATCAGACTTAAAGAAAGGGAGGGATATGGGTATAGTAATGACATGATCACAAGGAACCATATGGAAAACAAGACACACATTCAGACTTAAGCTAGTTACATGATAAGCAGTGGAACCAAAGGATGAAACACATAAGGAACAGTAAGTAAGTAAGCAAAAACTGGAGCATGTTGTGTAGATGCTACAAAGCTAAATAGCAAAACATACCAGTTAGAGACTAGGAGATAGCAAAGTGCTGGAAATAACACAGCAGCAGCGGTATGCAGGACAAGGAAACAACACAGGACAGTAATATGCAGGATGTGAGCAGCAGTGGTATGCAAAAGCACAAGAGCAGTAGAGACTACTCAGTCTTGAGTGTGTTTGTGTGATCAGTGATTTCAGAGGCAATTTGTATCAGTATCTTTTTCGCTGAATCTCAGTGTGTGTGTGAAGAGGGAAGACAGGTCTTTATATAGTTTTGAAAACAAGTAGTACATAGGCAAAAAATGCACAAACATAGAAATAGCAATCAATTAGTGTCAATTAAGACAACTGGACTCCTTTAATTAAGGAGTCGGTGAGTCAAGGTAGAATAAGGAAAGAAATCACTCCAGCAAGGCTAATTAAGGCAAGGAATCACATAGTGCATAATCAAGGCCAAATACATAGTGGGTAATTAAGGAAAAGTTAAAATAACCGTGTAAAAATAGGGTATCAGTTCGAGAATCAACCAAAGGGATCCCAGATCAAATCGTAATCCTAGGGAATCCAAAGTAATTAAGGAAAGCATCACATAAATATAGAAATAATTCAAAATTGGTACAGAATTGCATAAGGAATACACGAGATCATATTTTTAAGGAAAGTATCACAAGCATGAGATTTTTACACAAGAGGATCGGTACAAATCATCAAATAAACAGCCAGTAGGGCAAGAGTCGGAATTATTGAGCATTTAAATAGCAGTCACATGGTTAACAGGAAGAGATGTTCATAGAAATCAACAGGAAGAGGTCATAGTAGCGAATTAAACAGGAGTCACGGAGAACACATGAATGCACACAATTAGGTAACAAAAGGATACACATAATAAGGGTTAACCTAAAATTGGGGTTTCA